CACCAGTGCCTCCAGGCCTTCTCCTTTCTTATCAGGCTGTCAGATACAGGGAGTTATTGTTTTAAATTGCTCGGGGTGAAAGGAAAAGAGAGAGAGAAGCCACACTTCAGTGACTTTGCAGATAACAGTGAAGGAGGATTAGTCTTAATAGAGAATAAATATAGGGAATGCATGGCTCTGGGTCTCCCATTGTTTCCTGTCTGCAGCACAAAAAGCAGGGGCTGAGACGTTGCTACTAATACAGCTCTTAGCCGATGGATTGATCTGGAGTCTTTATCGCACCACAGTTCTCTGCTGTGGCAAAGTACAGGGCTAGTGACTGGAATGAGATTTCTGCAGCCTCTAGGGCAAAACTGTCCCTCTGCCAGCAGCCAAGGCGTGCTATGCTATGCTCTAGGGGGCTTGGCCCATGTAATGACCGTTCGAGGGGCCTTCTCGTTTGGCATAAGTTAGAGCAGTTCCCAAGCTATTCTAACTTGTACCAGGATGCAAAGTGGTCACTGACAGTTCCGGGGGGCATAGCACAAAAGCTGGCCTCCCCTGAGTGGCGCCATGGTATGCCTGAGTATCTGGGACAGTGGACATAAAATGCTACCAGGCCATTTTGTATGTAATTGCAAGATGTAAATGACTGCACAAGAGACTGGAGAATCAAACCCCAAAGATTTACTTCTTCAATTCATAGAATCCTAGAACACTAGAACCGGAAGGGACCTCGAGAGATCATTAAGTCCAGCCCCCTGCCCTCACGGCAGCATCAAGCACCATCTAGATCAGGGCTACTCAACATGTGGCCCACAACCCGTTTGTTCACGGCCCGCGGGTGGGAAATGAAACAAAAAGAAGTCAATAGAATGGTCTTCTGTTGAGATGCCTTTTAGTAGTTAAATTCCTGGACTGTCATTGAAAGTGCTGTCATATGGGTGGAAACCGGGTAAATATTTCATTTTATTAATATCAGCAGAACTGACTTAAATGGGGCCTGCGTGTTGTGTAGTCTTGCCTTAATCTTTGTATTCATGCCCATCAGTGTGAAAGAAGCTATTTGCATATATATTTGCATGTACATGCAACCACATTAAGTTGTGATCCTCGGCATGTGCTGTGAGTATCATTGTAGCCTCCAGGGCTTCCAAAGTCGAGTAGCCCTGATCTAGATCATCTCTGATAGATGATCTATCCAACCTGCTCTTAAATATCTCCAGTGATGGAGATTCCACAACCTCTCTAGGTAATTTATTTCAGTGTTTAACCATCCTGACAGTTAGGAAGATTTTCCTAATGTCCAACTTAAACCTCCCTTGCTGCAATTTAAGCCCATTGCTTATTGTCCTATCATCAGAGGCCAAGGAGAACAATTTCCACCCCCCTCCCTGTGAAGACTGGCAAGTTTTTCCGCAAAAGCAGCTGCTTTTGCGGAAAAACTTGCCAGCTGTCTACACTGTCCGCTTGAATTTGCGCAAGAACACTGACGATCTAATGTAAAATTGTCAGTGTTCTTGTGCAAATACTATGCTGCTCCTGTTCGGGAAAAATCCCTCTTGCGCAAATGTATTTGCACAAGAGGGCCAGTGTAGACAGCTAAAAACTGTTTTGTGCAAAAAAGCCCCGATGGAGAAAATGGCGATCGGGGCTTTCTTGAGCAAAACCGCGTCTAGATTGGCACGGACGCTTTTTCCGCAAAAAGTGCTTTTGTGCAAAAGCGTCCGTGCCAATCTAGACGCTCTTTTCCGCAAATGCTTTTAACGGAAAAACTTTTCCATTAAAAGCATTTGCAGAAAATCATGCCAGTCTAGACGCAGCCTTTTAGATACTTGAAAACTACTATCATGTCCCCGCTCAGTCTGCCTGAAAAATGTCACTGATCTCAATGGGACTTCCTGTACTTTTATTTAAACCCATGCTTCATTGCTTTGCTGGATCGCCACCTTGCAGATCTGAACCCCATATGAGGAGAGAATCAGACCTACATGCTTAACCCTTGGCCGACGTTCTTTATTATGACATTTTGCTGCTCTTCTTTATTCAGTGGGTTGCACAGTTCATTGCTGAAATACTTATGCCAGAATGAAGCCTCGGAAGGGGCCTTTGGAAAGGGGGGAAAAACTTGAATGAATAAATAACAGACCCCAACTCTCTTGCCTCATTTAAGTCAAAGTGGAAATCGGCTGCCTGAATTCCTGGCCGCCCTGGGGAATGGCAACATCTCTGTAACCCGACGGGCAGGCGGTGACTTTAGAAAAAGGTGGTGAACACAGAAAAAGGAGAGCAAATTGAAGTCTCTTATAGAATCTTGGTTGGACAAGTTAATGTTTGACAGCTTGAATGTATGTGAACATTAACAAGGCAGATAATTCAGGGTCTTGCTGCTCTTGGTAACAGTCCAGGAGTAATATTTCCACAAAGACTAACTATTTTTGGACAATTTCTCCAAAGTATTCAAAATAAACATGCTTTTCCCCTCAGCTCAGGCAGGCATGCCTCCTTGTTTCAGTTCTCTTTTTAATAGTAACAATGTACGCCCTTTAGAGCCAAGGTAAACTGAAATCTTACCCTCTGCTGGCCAGCCTCCCCATTGCAGAGTATCCCCAGCTACCAATGGCCTAATTAAGAGATAATATAATGGGCCTCACAATCTTCTCCCTTAAACCAGTTTTACACTGGTGTATATCCGTGGATGCTAATGGGAGGACTTCCAGTTGCCACCACTTTGAGGCGAGGTCTTCAGTGAAAAAGTAGTAGGTAGCCAGCAATGTCAAATCCAAGTGAAGACAAGGCATAGGTCAATCTTGTGTGGCCCTTACCTGAATTTGTCCTTAACTAGCTACACAGAAGTAAAAATAATAGTACCTTGTCTCCACTAGAATCTTAACGCGTGTGATTAGTTGGGTGGGTTCTCCTTTATTTTCCAGCCCAGTGGCTGAACCTAAAATTGTTTTGTTTGGGGGGGTTGTCTCAGAAAATTAAATGATTTTGTTTTGCTTGGTTACTTTTCCAACATCATTTTGACTTGAAATTTCTTTTCCAATTGTCATTCTGTTTTAAAAATGTCAGAACTTACCAACAGTTCCCAGTTTTGTTGATTTCATATTCTTTCAGCGGAAATAATTTGTGGAATTCAAAAAGTTTAGGTGCCCCTCCATGCGCATTTTTTTCCAGCCAATTCACTAATCACCAAAAAAAAAAAAATCACACAGCTCTAATCTCGAGTTAAGTGTGGTTTTGCCTAAAGAGGGCTATCTTTGCAGCAAAGGCATTGCCTAAGTGAGTTAAACTCCGAAGAAATTCAAACATGTTAAAAGTATGAAAATTCACAGATCAATCAAATACTCTTATGACACTGAGTAACAGTCTAATCCTGGTCCACAAATGCAAATTGTGCAATTCCATACTTCACTGTGTTTGGATTTATTGTTAACTTTGAACCTTGGTGCTGAATTTCCTGGGTATGTTATGTTTGTTAAGGGTAAAAAGCATTATCCCCTGAAGTTACTTTCAACAATAGTTCCCTCCTAATGTCACTTTTTAGCTGGGAATGAATCAACGACGTTGTTAGTGACATAGACAAATAACATATTTCAGAGAGGTTAAATGATTTGCTCAAGCAAGCCTATGGCCAAAGCAGGTCTGGAATGCTGATCTCCTGAATTATAGGACAAAGTCGTACTCGCTAAGGCCTTGTCTCCACTACATGGTGGACTGCTGCTGCAGCAATCAATCTATTGAAGGTTGATACATCATGTCTGCTTAGACATAATAAATCAATTTCTGAGTGCTCTCCCGTCGACTCCGGTACTCCTCCAGGATGAGAAGAGTAGCCGAAGTTGATGGGAGAGGAGCCCCCATGCTAACCTTACCTGATGGAAGATACCTCAGTAAGTATTTAAGTTGCGTAGGGAAGATCAATGGAGAGGGGACAGTGTAGACAAGGCCTAGGACATGCTGCCTCCATGACACATGATGAGCAAAATAGATATTATTCCTCATCACAATATTTAGCATCTTAAAACACACAGCACTGCAATCTCCTCCTGGAAGGTGGTTGTAGCACATAGCCTTCATGCTTTTAGACATTGAGGGAATAAAATATTGGCCTGAAAACACTTGTGATCTGTTTAATCATCCAAAACTACAAAGCCAGGTTGTGTAAACTATTTATGCTGAAAAAATTGCCCAATTATGCCATAGCTATAAAAATGTATACATGCCAATTAAAAAGCAGCTATTGACGCTTTAAGGAGACATATCAGTAATTACTGGAAAAACTCTGAATGGCATGTCGCCCACAAATATATCCCCACTGCAATCGTACTTAGAATGTACACATTTTGAAAGTGTGTTACAACCATTACCTAATGAATCCTCAAGCTCTTGTACCAAACATATTTGCTGCCATATAATGATTGAATTAACTTATCCCTACAGGGAAAACTTGAAAAAGATTAAATTTGCTGAAACATCTAGTGCTTAGCCTTGATTATAATTTGCAAACTACAGAAAGTCTATAATTTGCAAGTTATTGAAAGTCTATATTTACTTATTAAGTAAAACTCCTAACTTCTAGTCAAGTCCTAGATGATGCTACTCAGGGTAGGTCTATACCAGGGATGGCCAACCCATTTAACAAAGAGAGACACAACAGTGATGGAAAAAATGCGAAAAGCCGCACCAAAATTGTCAAGCAAAAAAAAAAAAAAGGCCCCACAGAACAGACTTGTCGAACAAAAACAAAAAAAAATGTTTAAAGAGGCTGCCCCTTTAAGATGGCCACCATCTTGGGTGCCATTTTTAAAACCCCACAGCTCCAACTCAGGAAGCACAGGGAAGCTGGCGGGGGGAGCCAGCGGGTGCCATTTGCGGGAGGCGAAAGAGTGGCTTCACAAGCTGCACTTTTGGGGGGCAAGAGACGCATGAGGCTCATGAACCACGGTTTGGCCATGGCATGCAACTTCAGCTATGTGAATAGTGTAGTTGAAATCAATGTACTTAGATCTACTTACCCCAGTGTCTTCACTGCGGTGTATAGACAGGAAACACTCTCCCATTGACTCCCCTTTGTACTTCTCGCTCTCATGGAATGCCGGAGTCAACTGTGGAGAGTGATCGACGGTCAATTATTGCATCTATACTAGATGCGATAAATCAACTCCTGCTGGATCGATCGTTGCCCCGTTGATCTGGCCAGCAGTGGATACAAGTGCTAAGGGTGAATTTTGAAAAGTTTTGCAGTAGTCACTATCTACTGTTCCAGCCCCAATCCAGCAAAGTATTTAAGTCAATGGGACCAGTCGTGTACTTAAAATTAAGCATGTGCCCAAGTACTTTGTCTTGCAGCCCACTGAGAGTAACAGCAGTTTCAGAACTGACTTCAACAGAGAAAGGTTCAGGCCTTTAATTATACAGGAGCCAGTAGGAACACCTGGATTGAAGTTGCCTGCCCACGCCCAAAATGACTATTTTCATTTGCTGATAAGCTTGGTCAAATGTTAACTGCCAGGGCTGAAAATTTCCATGCTTTGTCGCTATCTCAGGCTGATGTTTTCTGGAAAGTTTAAGGGAAATCCGTGCAGCTTTTCTGAGGATGAGGCTAGGGAACATTAGGTGCTGTAGCCACTGACAGTCTGAAGAGCTCTAGCATGTGCGTGGCTAGGAGCAGGAGGCTGGAATTGGGCAGAGGGATGGTGCTGAGTGCAGACAGGTGTCTTTCGGTGACTCTATGAAAATCTGGCCACGCTGGGCCAAGTTACAAGATGTAACAAGCTGTCATTTGCCACGTTTTTTGTTTTTTTTTCCAAACCTAAGAAATTCTTTGCAACTTCCCTTCACTGAGAGTTATTTAGGTAGTGAAGTCAAGTCAAATGTTAGGAAAGAGAAAATTAATGTTCTCTGGGCAAGCCTAATTTGCCATCCCCACCCCCCAATTCATACGTATTATAATACAGTTTTTAATTGCATGACCCCGAGGGTTTCTGTGTGAGGTCAGGATTAAGGAGATTTCTCCCCATGTTTTCTGACACAGAGAGTAGACACAATGGGATTCTTATGTCTCATGAGGAAATAACCTCCCCAGAAGGACCCCTGACCTCTCAACCACACATCAGAGCACATGGTGGTAGGTTTTCCAGATTTGAGTGCAAAGCAGTGTTCCCTGTAAGCTGAGCACTTCGGCGGCCACCCAAGAGAGACTCAGGTTCTGCCCAGCTGATTAGCAGAGCACCCACAGACGGCAGCGTGTGTTTCCACTGGTGGTGCACATCCACACATACCTCAGTGCATCTGACAACATTTGCTCCACACATGGATGGAAAAAAATTAGAGGGAACATTGGTGGGATAGAGGGGATAGAGAATAAGACAGAGAATATCTTATTGACTCTGTATAAATCCATGGCACATCCACATCTTGAATACTACAAACAGATGTGGTCACCTCATCTCAAAAAAGATATATTGGCATTAGAAAAGGTTCAGAAAAGGGCAACAAAATTGATTAGTGGTCCTATGTGAAGAGAGATGAAAAAGACTGGGACTTTTCAGCATAGAAAAGAGGAGACTGAGGGGGGATATGATAGAGGTCTATAAAAACATGACAGGTGTGGAGAAAGTGAATAAGGAATTGTTATTTACTTGTTCCCATAACATAAGAACTAGGGGTCACCAAATGAAATTAATAGGTAGCAGGTTTAAAACAAAAAAAAGTTTTTCTTCACGCGGCACCCAGTCAATCTGTGGAACTCCTTGCCAGAGGATGCTGTGAAGACCAAGACTTTAACGGGGTTCAAAAAAGAGCTAGATAGATGCATGGAGGTTAGGGCCATCAAATGGCTATTAGCCAGGATGGGCAGGAATGGTGTCCCTAGCCTCTGTTTGTCAGAGGCTGGAAATGGATGACAGGAGAAGGATCACGTGATGATTCCCTGGATATTGGGCTAGATGGATCTTTGGTCTAACCCCTTATGGCCATTCTTAAGGCTGTAAAGCATTTTGCCTGATCAAGGCTCTGTCCTCACAGTGCCACCTGTGGGGAAGTGTGCTTTGTACTTCCCCTTGAAACAATGCTGGGCACACCCCGCTCTCCTGCCCCTCCCCAATGACCCCAGAAAGTACAGGGCCTGCAACTGTTCTGTGTTTTACAGGCATTATCTAACTCTGTGTTAGGAAAGCAATCGTATTTTCCAGATCAAATCAAAAGAACAGGATGAGGGGACAAGAAAGTTCTGAATTGTGAGGAAGGACCGAAGAATTGCATTGCTAGCAACAATCAGAGGATTTATTTAAACTCACGAGGGTGTAGGCAAGGCTAACGTATGTTATGTAAGATACACCAAATGGCTTTCTGTAGCACTTGGACTACTCCGTTGTGATCATGTGCCGCACACGCTGATGACATGCCAGTCTGAACAACTCATCAGATGGGCACCGGCGCGCTCTGTTATTCCCCTATGAAGCTGGCAGATAAAAGACGCGGCATTTAAGTAGCTGACAGAGTAACCTGTAAGTGCCTGTCCTGAGCAATCTACTTGTCAGCTTTCCTGGCTCAGAGAGGAGACGTGTGCCGCAGCTGTCAGCTTTGGATCATCTTTCCCCTCTGCCTTTCATCGGCCTTAGTCCCATGAATGGAGGTTTTATTTGACTTTCTTTTTTGAGTTGCAGGACCTCGTCCATCATGTTGCACGAAAGCATTTAGTGCAGGGGTGAGCAAGAGGTGGCCAGCAGGCCAGATCCAGCTGGCCAAGCCACCTGATCCAGCCCTCAGACACCTCGCCAGAACCCTTAGGCAGAGAACAGCTCACACTTTAAAAAGCCAGCTGTTCTCTGTTCCAAATGGCTAGGGAAGGAGGAGGGAGACTTATCATGCTATTCCTGCCCCCCAGCAAAATCTCTTAGCTTCCATAGGCCAATCTCTCAGTTTCCAGCCAATAGGAGCTAAGAATTTTTGCTGGGAGCAGGGGCATCGTGTGAAGCCTTCTCCCTCCCTCCTCATCTCCCCTCCGGCTTCCCCTCCTTCTCATGCCTGGAGTGGAGCCATGTGGAACAGTAAGCCCTTGGACTAGATTGCCTCTTGAGGTCCCCTCCAACCTTGTTTCTAGGATGTTGAAAAGAGCTGCCCAAGGTGACGCAGGAAGCCTGTTGTAGAGGAGACACTCAAACACAGGTCTCCCAAACCTCATCACTAGACTACCCTTACATTTTCCAGATGTTTCCTGGGAACATCAGAATTTCCCAGTGGGAAAATGTACACAGGAAAATTCCTGGCTTTATTGCCAATTCTACACATACCCAGCAGGAGCTAGGGTTGTTTCAGTGTCAATCAAAGAGAATTTTCCTGTTTAAAGGTTAATGTATCAATTGGGCGGCTAGTATGAGAATTCTTTTTGCTACTCTGGCTTGTGAGTTCCACATTGTTCATTGTTTAGGGTGTTCCAAGGATACATTTATTAGCCTGTCTTCCCTTGAATTGCATTTAGCTAACCTAACTCTAGCTCAGACTGTTTGCAAAAACTTAAAAAACAACAAATAGCCAGTAGCACTTTAAAGACTAACAAAACATGCAGATGGTATCATGAGCTATTGTGAGCAAAACCCACTTCTACAGTGAAGTGCTTAATTTCCTAACAAGAAGTCTTGAGAACACGCCAACTGTAGAATATTTCAATCTGTAATTTATTTTCAGGCATATGCACCTTTGTAATGAACGAGTATAATAAAGACTCTTCCAGTGTGATAGCTAATGGTTTTGAAATCTCCAAAATTATGATTCTACTTAACATTTTCTTTACTTGGTGCAAAAAGAAAATGTGCATTTTTATTACAGCAATTGGATTAGCTCAGGTGCAGTGGTGATTTTTAAATTAATGCCGTAGCTGTCATGAAATTGTGGTGTAATCAAGCATCAGATAAGCAATATCACCCAGGGTAGCTTTTCAGTGTGATCCTAACTTCACTCCCACTGAAGCTGAAGGACCAGAGTTAGCCCAGTACTAAGTGTTGTTGAATGACATACCCGTAATTCTCTCAATAAAAGATACCGGCTCTGGGAAAATCCGTATTGTGCTAGAGACAATGTACAATAGAATCTTTGACAACAATCACCTAGTCTCCATGGTCACCTCTTCTAACAACCAGTAAAATCTCAGTTTGGAAGCATAACCCTCCATAATACCATGGCTGTGTTATAAAAGAACGGGGATTTGAGTGGCCATTCTTAACTGTTTTCATTTGAGTCAGCTTGCTCTGGGCCATGATGGATGGTTTTATGCTCATCTTTTTTTGTACGACTCATCAAATAGCAACATCATTCTAATATCTTCTTTGTGAGGAGCCTCAAAGCAAGCCATTTCAAAGGCAGGAAGCAGGCAGCACCCGAAGCTGTCTAATTACAGAGCTTGAGCTGTGCATGGCAAGAGTATTTAAATAAACGGCATAAATGATTTTTCAGAGGAGAGAGCTAAGCTGATAATCCATATTTAGTACACTAATCTGGAATGTTTGTTTTGCATTCTTTGAGCCTTTTAAGATGACAGGTTGTGATCCACTGCTTCCCTTAGAGGCTGGCAGCTTTCCTGCACTAGCATTTAATTTCTGTTTGATGTCTGCAACTTTGTGTCAATGTACAAACTACTGTTAAGATATAAAGCAGCGATTAAAATAATTCATCCATCTGGTTATAATTAAAGACTGAGCTAAATGTAATGACAACTTTATCTAGCAAAGCCGGCTCTCATCTTTTAAAATGAACCATGCACTTTCCACTTTTTAGGGTTTTTTTTCTTGTAAAAAGGCAAGGGACTGCGTGCAGCATGGCCTTCCAATTAGAGGGAATGAAAACTCCTGTCATAAAAAGGATATAAATCCGTGACATCCCCAACAGAAATAAGACAGGAGTTGTACGTGTCTAACTTTTCCCCACATCCTCAGTAGCTCAGTAGGGGCAGGCTGGGAAGCCTGTAAATTCAGAGCAAGAAATTAAAACGGAACCTCCAGGAGGAGAACAAACACTGAAATGATAATCGGCCAGTATTTTCTACGTGATGTGGGACTGCTGAAGCAGCGTGAAAGTCAACATCCCCTTCCTATCTCCTCCAAAGAAG